TACGAAGCACCAGGAAGCCGTGGAGCAGCTGAAACAAGCACTGACATCCGCACCGTGCTCATCTTGCCAGATCCCGAACGTGACTACGTCATTGAAGCAGACGCCAGTGATCAGGCCGTGGGAGCAGTCTTGTGCAAGACCAGGGGAATGGACTGCAACCAATTGCCTACCTCAGCAAGAAACTGCACGGGGCAGAACTCAACTACCCGATACACGACAAAGAGGCTCTTGCTATTGTCATCGCCTTCAAAGCATGGAGATGTTATCTCGAAGGACGTCAAACAACAGTCTACACCGACCACTGCAGTCTGAAATATCTGAAGACACAACCAACCCTTTCCAGGCGGCAGGTCCGGTGGATTGACTTCCTCGAGACACACTTCCACTACGACATCGTGTACAAGCCCGGCCACAAAAACAAAGCAGACCCTCAGCCGGCCTGCACACGTTGCCGCTATTCAGGCCGAAGGGATGAATCCACTACTCAAGGGACTCTTCACACACGGGTATACCATCGACCTCGAAATTCCCTTGGCATAAAAATGACATCTACTACAGTGGGGCAACGACATTGCGTACCGGAAAGGATCAACGAAAATCTGGGTACCCAATTACCCTCCTTTGCGCCAGTTACTACTCGAAGAATACCATGACGTCCTCTACGCCGGACACTTCGGTAGCAACAAGACGCTGACCGGTATCGCAAAACACTACTACTGGCCTCACTTGGCAGATGATGTTCGGAAATTCGTCACCTCGTGTGATACATGTCAACGGATGAAGAGCAGTAAGCAGAAGAAAGCAGGACTACTACAGCCTCTTCCTGTCCCAGAACGGCCATGGCAAGTGGTTAGCCTGGATTTCATCACCGGGTTACCACCTACCACTCGCGGTCATGACGCAATTCTTGTCGTCATCGACAAATTCTCTAAGATGGGACACTTCATCCCGACACACACGACGGCACGCACCGAGGAGATAGCACAACTCTTCGTTCGCTACATCATCTCACAGCATGGCATTCCAACTACACTCATCTCCGACCGAGACCCCAAGTTCACCAGCAAGTTCTGGAAGGAACTCATGTCTCTGCTCGGCACCAAACTCGCCATGTCATCCGCATACCATCCGCAAACAGACGGACAGACCGAGCGCCTTAACCAGATTGTGGAGCAACTCCTCCGAGCAGCCTGCAAGGACGAGATCTCCAAATGGGACTTGCACCTGCCCGTTCTGGAGTTTGCTTACAACAACGCCACACATGCCGCTACTGGACAGACGCCGTTCTTCCTCTGCTACGGACGCCACCCACTCACACCACAGAAACCGACAACATCAGCTACAGTCCAACCTGCACACGACTTCATCACAACCATGCATCAACTTTGGGATCGGACCCATAAGCGCCTCCTTGACATTCAACAGCAACAGAAGCGCCAGGCCGATTGCCATCGCAACGACCACACCATTTCCGTGGGAGACCAGGTGCTCCTCGACACCCGCAACCTGGACATCAGCCACCTCCCATCTAAACTTCGACCTCGCTTCTGCAGACCTTTTCTCGTTGAAGCACAGGTTACCCCTGTTACCTTCCGCTTACGCCTGCCAGCTACCTGGAAGATTCACAATGCCTTCCATGTCCAACTTCTAAAGCCCTATCGGGATCCTAACACGATCTTCGTGGGAGGCCAGCCGCCGCCGCCGCCACCCGTCCTCGTCCAGAATGAACCCGAGTACGAGGTCGAGTCCATGCTTGCACATCGTCGACGTCGGAATGGCACCGTGGAGCTTCTTATTCGTTGGAAGGGCTATGATCCTTCTGAGGACAGCTGGGTCTCTGAAACCGACATGGGTAACGCCCGTCGTCCTCTGCATGACTACCTTGTCAAGCAGGGTGTTACTTCTACCACCCAGCTTTGAGGGGGGGAAGTGTGAGAGTACGACCCCGTTACACCACTTGTCCCATTCTTATCTCCTTCCTATTTCATTCTTCTTTTTATCTCATCTCATTTGGTTTCCTATTCTCCATTCTTCCATTATTCTTTGATTGATCCTGCTATTATAATTATATCACCGACCAGGCTTGGGATGTACTGGCACATTATCCAGCGTAATCCTGCCGTAATCCCTTAAAGCCAATGGCCTCGCGTGGCTATACGCAGGGTGATTCTATATTCTAGAAGGGTCTATTCCTTTGGATAGGATAAACCTGGTTACCTGATGTACTCTGGAAGTATAAAAGCACCTTGTACTGATCGACAGTGCAATCGATCCTCGAGTCATTCGATCCTGTGACACCTTGGGCCTCGCATTGGATAGCTGCCATGGAGCAGGAGATGGCATCTTGGAGATGCACCGGCACCTACGTCGACGCAGTTTCTCCACCTGGGGTGAACGTAGTCGATGGCCGCTGGCTCTTCAAGGTGAAGCGCCCTCCTGGAGAGCCGCTTGTGTTCAAGGTGCGCTACATGGCTAGAGGCTTTAGTCAGCGTGAGGGGGTGGACTTCTTTCAGACTTTCGCCCCGACCCCGAAGATGACTACTCTTCGGGCACTACTACACGTAGCAGCACAGCGTGATTACGAGTTACACTCCCTTGACTTCTCCACTGCGTTTCTTCAGGGCAGTCTACACGAGCAGGTCTACCTGCGCCGCCCTCAGGCTTTCACTGGTACCTTCCCTCTTGGGACCCAATGGCTTCTGCGGCGCCCAGTCTACGGCTTGTGTCAGGCTCCCCGCGAGTGGCACGACACGCTGCGTGCTACTCTTGCAGACCTGGTGTTCTTTCCGTCTTCCGCAGACCCCTCGCTCTTTGTTAGTTCTGGCTAGACTCCGTTCTACATCCTTGTTTACGTAGACGATCTGGTCTTTGCCACTGCAGACACCACCGCGCTGGCCTTTGTAAAGGCTGGGCTGCTGAGGAGACACACCTGCACTGACCTAGGAGAGCTGCACCACTACCTGGGTCTGCAGATCTCCAGAGACAGAGCAGCGCGCACCATCACTCTCACCCAGTCACACTTGGTGCGCCAGGTCCTTCAGAGGTTCGGTCTTCAGTTCTCCTCCGCACAGCCCTTACCTCTTCCAGGAGATCACAGGCTCTCTGCTCCAGTTCCTGAGGAGTCAGCAGAGCCCAGTGGTCCTTACGCAGAGCTGGTGGGTTGCCTCATGTACCTGATGACTTGCACTCGTCCAGATCTCGCATACCCTCTCAGCATCCTGGCTCGCTTTGTGGCCACAGGCAGACACACACCTCAGCACTGGTCTGCAGCTAAGAGGGTTTTGCGTTATCTCGCGAGTACATCAAGCATGGGGTTAGTGCTGGGAGGACGCAGGCCGGTGGTCCTTACTGGGCACACAGACGCTTCTTGGGCAGACGGCGCAGAGACCCTTAGGTCCTCGCAGGGCTACTGCTTTAGCCTTGGTTCAGGTGCTGTCTCGTGGAGAGCTACTCGCTCCTCGTCTGTTGCCCAGTCCAGCTGTGAGGCCGAGATCTACGCCGGTGCCATGGCGGCACAGGAGCTCCGCGGGCTGACCTTCCTGCTCACTGACTTAGGTGAGCGGCCTAGCTTTGCACCAGTCCTGTACGCTGACAATAGGGCCATGATCCTCCTGTGTCAGGAGCCTCGACTTGAGGGCAGAGCACAGCACATCCAGTTGCGGTACTTCCTCCTGCGCGAGCTGCAGCAGCGTCGCCAGGCCCGCGTAGTACACTTGACCTCCAATGCCAACACAGCTGATATCTTTACGAAGGCCCTTGCGCGTAAAGATCATCAGCGGCACTGTGTACAGCTAGGCCTTGTTCCTGTTACCTCTCACCTGCTAGGGGCTTGACTATGTACTGACCTTTATATATACTTCTGTTTATTCATGACTGGCCTTGTGGCCTCTCCCAGAGGCTGGACTAGTAGTGCCGCTCTGGCCTTGCCCTTGTACTGGTCTGTACTTGTTTGACTGGTCTTTAGACCCTTGACTCAGAGGTTGGACTAGTAGTGCCGCCCTGAGTTGCCATTTTTCTCATCAGGAACTACACCTATGCAGTCCAGGGGGTGTGTCAAACATATATATAGGTTATGTTTGTATAGACTGTATAGGTTCGTATCTTAGAGGGTACAACACTTAGGCTTATACCCTTGTACGTTTTTCTCTCGACATTCAATTCTACGTTTAGACTCTGGCCCTGCTCAAAACCGAGGAGATTCAAGGTTTGTCCATGGAACTGATGTGGTATCAATGTAGGTGCAGTAGTATGCAAAGAAATAATTCTTGGTCTGAACTTTATTTCCCTACCAAGAAGGCCGATCTAACTAGCTCAAGTCAACCCAATGAGCTGGCCAATCCCCTTGGATTCCAAAAACTCCTCACATCCTCAGAAATCCTTTTCCTGCCCGCTTTTTCACTCACTACTGGTAACCGATATAGCCCCAATGCTGCATCCCACACATACAACAAGCTTTCTTGAGAATACCACCCTTCAAACCACAGAAGCCTCTCACAGCCACATAGCCTCCCAATCTCGATATTTACTCGCTTCTCTTCGCCATCTTCAGGAGAACCACCTTCCCTGCGCTTCCGTTGTACTGCTTGCATCAAGCTCCTCTCAACGCCATGTCCTTCTTCGGTTCCCCTTCCCAACACGTCTTCTCCCACACTTCCCCCCAACATCCCGTCTCCCTCTCCCCCAGCAGCCATTCTCACTCCATCTGCCCCCTCACACATGCCTTCTCCATCTCCCTCTCTCAACGCACTTTTCAACTCCCTCAGAAAATCCCTCCCAATGCAGTCCACAAACAACCCCTCCAATCCACCTGGCCAGATAACACCTGACCGCAGCGACAACAGAGACACTGCGTGCCAACCTGTCAGGTGAAAACAACAGAGACTGCGCCATACGCTCAGGTCCAGCCGACCAGACGCTTTCCGCGAGAGTCGAACTTCCCACTGCAGGGCCTTGACACTGCTCACCACACTGGGCGGCAGATGGGCGGCATCCTTCGGCAGCATGTTGGTGCGGAGAGAATCGACCGAGGTAAGGTGAGGGGCATGAAAGGCCCAGCGGAAGGAGTGATTGAGGGTGAGGGAGAGAGAGGAGAGATGGGGAGGGGAGGGGGGGAGCAAGAGGAGGCGAGAGTGGGGACTCCACCAGCTAAAGTCAAGGGAGGTGAGGCGAGGCGCGGACAGGGATATCGCAGAGTCAATCCCTGAGATCAAAACCTCCGTCACAAGGGGGAGGTGAAAAGCAAAGGCCTTTCCTGCTTCAGGTGTCCCTGCATGGCCTTCCCCTCGTTGCGGTCCCCCCCCTTCTCCCATGCTCTGTCCTTCTCTCCCTCTCGTACTCTCTCCTGTCCTCCCTCTCATGCCCGGGACTTCAGCATCTTCCTTGCCTGGCTTATCGCCCTCTTCCCCACCCTGAAAGTCGCCAGAGGAGGAGATGAGGCGCAGAGAGAGCAGCTGAGGGGCGAGGCAGGCGACGAGGCGGAGCACGAGAGGGGAGCAGACGGCGAGAGTGAGGTGCAGCGATGAGAGAGATGCAAAGGGCCTCCCGTCCTGTCCGAGAGGCTGTTTCGGCTCCCCTTGCTCCATCCTTGAGATCAGCTCCCTCATCTCTCCCTCCACCATGATCGTCCCGTCATGATCGTCCGTTTCACTCCCATCATGGCCGTCCGTTTTGCTCGCATTTCCACCGTCCAATTTGATCGCATGGCTGAGAACGAGCGACTGGAGGCGGGAGGCGCGAGAGAGAGCGAGGAGGAGGCGAGGAGGGGGGAAGAGGCGGCGGGAGAAGAAGAGATGGAGGTAGGTGAGAGAGGCGAGGGAGGGGAAGGAATGCACGAGAGAGCGGAGGAGAGGGGGAGGGGAGGCGGAGAGAGAGAGGGAGAGGTGAGACAGCTGGGAGGGAAGTCTGGAAAGCCACAGGAAGCTACGAAGGCGTTGGGGGAGAGTGATCGAGGAGTGCGGGCAGCGGCAGGTGTCGTCAAAGGAGAGGGAGGAGAGGGATGTGAGGGCGTGGCGCATGCAGGGGAGGGCAACGGCACTCAGCACGAGGGGCCACGAGCAGCACTCGGCTGCATCTGCTCCTGGCTCCACACCGCTCCTACTGAGAGACGAATCTGCCAAAGCATGGGCTATCCGCAGCCACACATCGATCGGGAGCGGTTGATTGCTGAGGCTGCTTTGCTGTGACTCTTGTAATTCGCCCCCATCTTTCCATCGTACTGCACGCCATGGAATGAGAACCATTGGAGGGTCCTCTGGCTCATCCTCCTCGTCCTCTGTCTCATCCTCCTCCTCCTCTTCCTCCTCCTCCTCGTCATCATCCTCCTCCTCGTCATTCTCCTCCTCTGTCTCATCCTCTTCTCCCTCTTCTCCCTCGCCCCCCTCCTCTCCCTCCTCCACTCTGTCCCCCTCCTCTCCCTCCTCATAACCCACTTCCTCTTTCCTTTCTTCCTCCTCCTCCACCTCCAGACCCTCTCTACCCCGCACTTCCATCCCCCACGCCTCGCCTTGTCTATCCTTTCACCCTGAAGTCTCTACCAGCCAACAAGCTGCAATGATCTCGAAGCACAATTCTGATCGTAACTCCCATTCCCAGCAGACCTGCTGCCACTTTTTGTTTTTGGGGGGGGGGGGGGTTACCGCTTCGCTATATCCAACCACGTCGCAAACTATCTCAGCGCCCCTGATTGTCCAGCATGGCCTTGAGCTCCTTAAGTCGCTGCATGCCCTCGCGTTAGAGCCGACTCAACAGCCACCTTTCTGCAACAGCAGCAACCGCCACGTGGCAAACTACCTGCACAATTCACTCAGCGCCCCTGGTTATCCAGCATGGCCTTGAGCTCCTTGAGTCGCTGCACGCCCTCGCTCATGTAGAACCGGATCTTGCTGATCTCGCTCTCCCCTGCATGCCTCTCGATTTCTTCGCGAATCACCTGGTGCAAATCG